CAGATGGGATCCGGAGGAGGCCTAGTCTGTGTGATCTGATCGGTCTATGGGAGGTAATTGGCAGGAGGCGGTCTCTCAGGTACCCATGATCTTTTTACTTTTATACTTCTCAATTAATATTCATTCGGAATAGTGAAATACCCACTACTTCTGCCAATACTTTTCCAAGTAGTATGTGTTCCTTTCTTGTAATGGTTGTGCATAATGATTGTACAGGTAGTCCTTGACTTACAACAGTTTATTTAGTGACCATTCAAAATTACAACGGCACTGAAAAAAGTGACTTATGACCGTTTTTCACAGTTCTGTTCTTTGATTATGTGATCAAAATTCAGATGCTTGACATCTGACATATTTATAACTGTTGCTGTGTGCCAGGTCATGTGATCACCTTTTACACCCTTCTCACAAGCAAAGTCAATGGAGAAGCCAGATTCACTTAACAACCGGTTACTAATTTGACAACTTCAGTAATTCACTTAATAACTAAGTCAAGAAAGGTTGTAAAATGGGACAAAATTCACTTAACAAGAGAAATGTTGGACTCGTTTATGGTTGCAAGTCGAGGTCTACCGGTATTGTTTAAAATGTTTGTGCACATTGTTTCTATTATTTAATGCTAGCATATTGATTTTATATCATTGCCTGGTGGTTATAAAGTATAATTCTCCAACATCATAAAATATTTGTTTCTATCACAAAGAGCTGCATAATTCCTAATGCGTATATTTTTGTCCTTCTCATAGATTTTGTGTTTAAATATATTCTTACTCTGCTGATAGGTCCAGTTCCACCAGATTTCAAACAAGCATCAAAAGTCTTTACAATCCTCCATAACCACATGAACTCTTCAATAATTGCACAATTTTACTACACAGATGACTTATTTGTAAGTTCATTCTACAAAATGATTAAACTGTTTCTGAGGAAGATTTAAAAGCGTCCAATTTAGAAATCAAATCTGACATTGTAACTGTAATATTGGCTCCACAAATTCCAAGCAAACTTACTTTAGAGACAGTTATCTTTTTTTACCTCATGGTGCTATATTATTTTCCTGATAGGTTAGATGAGTTTATAGCTATGTACTCCTTATATCTAAAGATTGTCTCTATATAGCCAGCCTAACAAAATGTTTTTTTTTTAAATAGTACAGGCTCCCTTTACCAGAATCCACCAGATTAAAGTGAAGAGAATGAATACGTCATGGTGTAATTATTTTTTCATTGCATTCTTTAGAATACTTAAAGATTCTGAAGAATGATTTTAATGGGTATGGCTTACAGACAAAATTGTCTGAAGGAAATGTTTCATCAACATCTTGGCTAAAGTACCTTGACTGTATTTATAAACCTCCTTTGTGTTACTGGCATGTTATACATGGCTTCAGTGATTCAGACAGCAATACTTTAAACAGAGAAAAACGTCTGGGCTTAATAAATTCAATAGTAATAAAAAGAAAAAGGTTAGGTCTGAAAAGAAAATATTTATACTGAAGGTAATTACAGCACCTTGTATTTATGTAGCACCTTTTAAATCCATGTTTCTAAAAGTACTTTAAAAATGTAATTAAGGCAAAAGATTTTGTGCCAAATCTTTGGTTTTATCTTCATCATATCCCTCCAAGACTTACTGTGTGGCCTTGGACTAGCTGCCTAAAATCTGATATTTATTTATTTTGGAGACCCTACTATTGTACATAATGAAACTTTGTAACCTTCTTAGACTGTATATTATAAAAAGCATCCTCTAAGGACAATGCTTTAGTATCTTCTGCACAATAGAAAATAAGAAGGGGCTGAGAAACACATCCCAAATTTTTTCTACCATCTTTGTTTCAAACATACAAAGCTAGGCCAATAATTTCAGTAGCAGATGGGCTGGAAATCACCACCATTAAAAAATATTTCAAGTTTGTTTTCTGTCTGTTATACTAATATTGTAATTGGATAAGAATGCCATTACAACAGTACAATCATGTTCCTTTAACTTTTACCTAGAAAAGTGTTGCTAAAAATATAATTTAAGTGTGTTTTTGTGCTTTGTTGAGAAATAATCTAGAATGGTAAAGGAGATTATTTTAGTGCTCTTCTCCAATCCCATCTCAGTAGAATAAACAGGTAGACAAGACACCACTAATTTAGTTGTCCTCTGCTTCACTGCAGTTTTTATTTTCCTTTGCTTGTCTGAAGATGATGAAATGTATCAGTAGATCAATGAAATGGAGACAGAGACAGTAGTGGCAGATGTTTCCATTATAGATTCCCATTGGAAATCCTTGCAGCAAAATTCTTAGTTAGAAAGTGATTATGTTCCAGTTTTTAGCATAGGACTGGATCTTCTTCCTACATAGCTGCTCAACAAAATAGGAAAACATTGTTCAGTTAGGACTCTTAAAACCATACAGTCTTATGCATTACTTAACAAATGGAATGGAACTGTTTACTGATCACATATTTATTTTTAATATTACTAATTAGAATATCTCTAAAAATTATCTATTTATATTATGAAAAATATAAGAAGCAAATCAAAACCTGAAAGCTTTAAAGAATTTAAAGCAGCTTTGGCATCTTTTAAAAGACATTTAACTCAATGTTGACTCAATCGTCCTTCTGTCAGAGCACTCATTTTTGACAAGAAACAATTGATACATGTCTATTCATGACTACTTTTATGATTTCCAGTACCTTTTCTGGCATTTGTAGTCACATTATCACCCATTTCCTTGATCCTTGTATGAACAATACTATGTATTTGAAACACGTATATTATGGAATATTTAATAGGCAACTAATAAATGAGGTTGCTTATTCAGAAACAAATTATTAGGTTCTGCAAGATGGGGGAACCTGGAAACTTTAGCATGTCATATACACCATCTTATTTCAATGGAACAACATTTTCTACTACAGTTATAATGTGTAGGGAGGTGGTAGCTGTATTTCACAGTTAAAAATTCAATGTATTATGAAATATTCCACAGAATCAATCATGATGCTAGGCAAATTTGTCAACTCAAAGGATTAATATTATCTTTACTATTACTTGGTAACAGTTGCACTTATGCTTCTATCATCCTAACTTCATTATGAGGACTATTCTGCTTGGTCAACTAGACATTAGATCTGCTTTAGGACTTATAAATTGTTGCCATCTTATCTAACATAATCTAAACTAAATCTAAGTACTTAAGTAGATGATATTTCTCCTTTGAAAACAAATCTTTGTACAGTAGTACATTGAAACCTAACTTCTTATCCAAGGTGTAAAAATAAATCTTTTGCATTCCTTATGCTGAGCAGGTCACATTACTTCAATAATGTTATTGAATCAAGGGTCTGCACTTATGTCAACTAAAATTATTACTTTTTGCTCTTATATTTCTCCTGAGAATAGTAGATGTCCTTTTATATAAGCAAAATAAAATGAAAATTGAAAAAGAAGTATTTATGTATTACTGGGATGAATGTTACAGTAATTTTTAGCTCTCCTGTGTTACTTTGACTACAAGATTCTTAATCATTTTGGAATTTGTTTCCAAAGAGCACTGGAGCATATCAGAATTATTTTGGTATTACTGACTAGCTTTGTCAATTGCTATTTTTACCTTTCTTTTGCCTTTTTCTAATCATTGAGGAACTCTGCTGTCATATTTACAGCCCAAGACCAAATCACAGAAATTTTAAAAACTCAGAACACTATTAATATACATATAAATATCTCTCGGAGAGGGAGGGACGGAGGGACGGAAAGAGAGAGAGAGATAAGGAGGGAGAGGGAGAGAGAGGAGAGAGAGAGAGACAGAGAGAGAGAGAGAGAGAGAGACAGAGAGAGAGAATCACACTTAGGCTATAAATTAAAAAAAATCTTTTAAACATCTTGATACATGAGATTACTTTGTGTTTTTTTTTTGCTTGAACCTGAATGAAATGAAATTTTAATTTTGGGATTGATGATTAGATCTACAATTATAGGAATACTATATATTATTGTATATGTATTAACCTTAGAATAAGAGGTTAATGTATTTTATGTTTGTACCAAAGAAAGTCAGATGTTATTATTTTTCTAATTGTATTATTTTTCTGCAATGCTAATTTTTCTTTATTTTTCTGACCTTTTCTTTCTTTAATTTTCATTTTGTCTTTATATTTGTCTCTGTTGAAATTTAACAAAATTGTAAAAAATCAGGGGAGCTTACCAGATAAAGAATGGGTGTATTATTTATGATTGCCAATGCATTCAGTGAATACTGTAAAAGGATGCAAGAAACAGACTCAATCTCTATATTTCAGCAGATACATGATAAGTCCTCATATTGAAGGCTATCATATAAACCAAGGTTAAACAGGTCAAGCAAAGTTTAATCTATCAGTGAATCCGAAACAAATCCCAGATTCCCAATGAGTATTTGCCTACAAAGGTTTTGAGCTACTTCCTAAAACCAGTAATGACTGCAAAGAAGTTAAATCATATTACAAAATAGGAAAGTATCTTATTTTTAGTAAAAATCCAGAATATAAAAAGTTTTGTACAAATTGATAAAAATTTGCTTTTCTAGAGATATCCAAAGGAAATTTTCTTAACATTTTACATTGTGGAAAAGTTAAATTTTTGTGACTGTCAGCTGGATCTTCAACATGGGTTTTCCCTTTGATACATACTTTCTATAGGCTGCCATAGTAATAGGGAGGGGGGCATGGCATTGGGGTTTGGGAAGTGAGATTGTGTGATGACGTCCTATGTGAACACAAAGGGAGGTTTGCTCTCAAGAATTACTGTGCTGCTGAGTGCAGTTGTTTACACCCAGTCAAGGCCAACCGTCCTAGAACTCCAAGTGGACAAAAGTACTTGAAGATGTGTTCCACATGACACTATGTGGGACGTGGATTGGACTTTCAGCCTAGGTCCCTGGGGAAGGGATTTGGGGAAACTTTCAACATGTAACTTTCACGCCTTTTGAATCAGATCCTGCTTTGCTTTCACCACTATCATTTCAAACTCAGTAAAAGTACCTCTTCTCTACCTCAATGGAGTCAGGGGTTTTCTTCCTTGGGTTTTGAATGGAGACAGGACTGACAGTGACTTTTATTCTAAGAATGAAAGAAATATTTTCTAATTAACAAATGCTAACACATTATTTCAGCCTAGAGGAGAGTTCTGACCTTTTTATATTAGCTGTGGCCCATCTGACCTATCTTTTCTACCTTGATTCTCTTTGCACTGCTGACTTAGCTAGTTGTCTATGGGGATCAAGCACAAACAGATTAGCTTTATGTTTGAAATTATCCAGAAAATGCATGCTTGTGATTCAGCCTTTAAATGAACAATTTTGTCCATATTTTCTTCTTCAGATTTCTTTTTTTCTTTTCCTAATCATGAATTTGTGAAAATATGAACTCAGGATCTCTAATGTTCACTGAAAAGGAAATTAAATCTCCTTCAAGTCTCTTTTGAAAACTTATGAACCCAGCCATAAAGTTTCTAGGAAATAATACAGAACTAGTTTGTTATTGCTTACTTATGGGATTATTTTTTTGCTCCTTTAATTTCCTAGTATAGTCTACAAGTCTGCAATTTCCTGGTGGAATCCCATTTGAGTACTAACTAAGTCTGTTACTGCTTAGCTTTCAAGACATAACAAGGTCAGCTCCATGCTGCCACCTGCTGAGAAATTCATCTAACATGCTGATGGACAAATTCCCTACCTGTATTTTATTTCAAACCACGTCTAGCCATTTTCCAACAACTTATTAACAATGTCCTAGAACCACAGTAGAAACGGGGTCCACTGAAGTATGTTTAGTTCAGGTGGAAGGCCTAAAAATAATTCATTTTCTGTATACAATGAACAAATGAAAGCCAGTAATTATGACAAATGTTTCCTAAGAACAGGTCTTGGCAAATGCAGTTTTATTCTTTAAGGGCTATTTC